TGCCAGGTTGTGGGTCTTCTCCCTCTGAGTTACTGGTCAGGAAGTTCCAGAGGCCCTAAATTAACACAGGCTAGTCCACTGATCTTGGTTGCCACCAGGACTAAGTGGCAAGACTCTAATGCTAAAAACACAAGACACTTTGGTTGTAGGACAGAGGCATCAAATTGGTGCTCACCCGCAAACTTCCTCCTGCAGGATGGGTTTCACAGGGTGGGAAGGTGCAGGCGGGCCACAGTGGGGAGAAAAGCCATCTATGGTCTTATATAGTGAATCCTGATTGTGACAATACCAACCTGCCAGGCGAGATGCACTCACGGGTGCTGTAGTGGCACGACTGTTGTGGAAAGAACCAACTACTTTCTAATGGAGCTTGAGGTCTGATGCACAGGATGGAACTCATGGCTGGTTGTGTGTCTTAGTTTGGGTTCCTATTGCAGTGATGAAACACCACGACCAAAAGCAATCCAGGGAACAGACAATCACCAAGGGAAGTTGGGGCAGGAACTCAAGCAGGGCAGGAACCTGGTGGCAGGAGCTGATGCAGAGGCCATGGAGGGGAGCTGTTTTGTGGCTTGTATCTTGTGGGTGCAACCATGACTACCTGCCCTGGGGTCCCCTCACCCTCAACGTATTATTCCCTACCATGTCAGTCATTAATTAAGGAAAGGCCCTATAAGTCTGACTATAAACCAATCTTGTTTTCTTATTTTCTCAATTTCTCATCCCTCCTCTCAGATGACTCTAGCTTGGGTCAAGTTGATATGAAAACTAGCCACCACACACTGTAAACCTGTCCCAAAGTCCAAAGCTCAGGAAGTACATTTTGCTAAGTGACATGTCCATCTCCTTCTAAATATGTGCACTTACAGACAAGTGCTGCTCTTAGCCTTGCCCAGAGCAGCTCTTTTCAGCAGAGACTCAGAACTGGTCCAAACACTGAGAGTAAGTGATGACTAGATGCTCAGCCCTGCACGGCACAGCCCTGCACGGCACAGCCCTGCGCGGCACAGCCCTGCACGGCACATCTGTACATGGCCCATCCCTGCACGGCACATCCTGTCAACCTCCTTACCAAAGCTTCGTGGAAGGCAGCGAGAGGAATGAACAGCTAGGGTAGGGAGGAGCACAGTGAGATGCTGTCTCCTGAACACGTCCCGGCCATTGCTCTTCTGAGCCTACTGTAACTATGGTCACCTGCATAACGTCAAGCCAGCAATATCAGTCATCCCAGCAGGCAGCACCGAATGGACTCGGGGTTACAAAGGATAAAAGAAAAGAAAAAATAAAGGACAGAAGGAACGGAGGGGAGCGTGTTGGGGTGTCTTGGGAGTAGATGACCAAGACACATTCTGTACACATATGAAATTGTGAATAACGGGGGCTGGAGAGGTGGCTCGCTGGTGAAGAGCACGGGCAGCTTTAGCAGAGGAACTGGGTTCGGTGCCCAGCCCCCACATGATGGCTCACAGCTATCTGTATCTCCAATTCCAGGGCACTCAGTACCTTCTTCTGGCCTCCGTGGGCACTGTATGCACATAGTACACAGACCTATACGCAGGCAAGACATTTGTACAAATAAAATAAGCCAATCTTAAAATAGGAATTTTTTTAAAAAGTTACTATAAAAATGCCAATCCTCAGGACATCGTGGTGTTGGTAGAGGAGCCCAGAGTTTAAGGGAACAGAAGAGGGAGCCCAGAGATAGACCCACAGACATAGTACACACCTTTGAGAAGAGAACCCAGGTGACAGAGTGGAGTAAAAGGAACTTGTCAACAGTGATGGGACAGCAAGTAGCTGCAAGCCATTTGCCTGCACAAAGATGCACCTAGACACAGAGCTGAATGTCCTTCAATGAATGGACTCAAGGAACATCATGTCATGTGCCTGCTTCTAGAGTCTGATGACCCAGAATCTGAGGTGAGGTGTAAAGAGAGAGCCAGCTCCACAAAGCTGTCCTTTGACCTCCACGTGTGTGCATGTGTGCACTCTCACAGTATAAGAGACGGCTTGAGTGTGGTTCCAGCACCCACATCTGGCAGCTCTTGACCATCTGCAACTCCAGCTCCATGCAGATCCAGCGCTTCTGAGCGCTGGGGGCACCTGCATGCTCAGGCATGTGCCTGATGCTGAACACGAGTCAAATAATCCCCAGCTAACTCCGAACAGAGTATCCTAAGGTTTTTCTTTATTAAAAGAGAAAACTCATGGAACAGGAATGGGGGTCCAACCTCAAGGTGTGGAGCATGGTAGAGAGAGTGAGCTGGGCGGGACGGCGGCTTTTTGGGTACCCAAAATCATGCCCCAACCTGGTCCAGCCTCTTAAAGGCCATTGGCTGAAGGAGGTTCCCCATCATGTGCCCATACACAGACACACATGTGATTAAAGTAATGGTATGTGTGATCACAGGAGCCCCAGGCCAGTACTGGCTTAACTGTACTTGTGACTCAGAGCTTCCTGTGAAGTATCCTGCTGCTGTTCCCCTTAGTGACTGAGCTCAGACTGGGGCAGGGGCATGGAGACACTGCTTGCATGATTAATGGTGCTAGGGGAGAGGCACTCTAAGGGACAAATGGACCCTACTGACCCTGCAAACTATAAACCATGAAACTCAGTCAGGCGAAGCAGGGCTGTGGTGGCTGTGTGGAGGGCCAGGCTCCTAGAAATCAGTGGGCAGGCAGGGTGATAAGTAACTTTGAGATGATAAGTAACTTCTGGATGGCAGGGGATTCCGGAGAAATCGAGACAAGTGTGAAACTTTAAACAGCTTCTTGGCAGGCTGGTTCAGGGTCAGGGAGCCAGGTTCTGCAGAGGAAGAGGGTTCTGGCAGGACTCTTCTTCTTTGGACAAAGAGGCTGGGCTTCCTGCAGCCCAGTGACCTCACATCTGAGGGGAGATGTGCTGTTGGAGACTGGGCTGCCCCTTTAGGAACAACAGGGTGTCGGGCTTGAGTTCAGTTCCTTATCTACCATTTATAAGCTGCGTGACCTTGGATGGTCAATCCAACTGACCCCACTGCCATTCACTTTCCTGTGTCAAGAATGGAAGTGGTAAAGACTAAATTGCACATAGGTAACATTGAAAATGTTAGCCATGGTTCCGTTGGCCACGTTTAGGTGCATATGCACATGTGTGCATGTGTGTATGTGTGTGTGTGTGTGTGTGTGTGTGTGTGTAGGCCAGAGGTCAACCTGTGGATCATAACCCCTTTAGGGGGTTAAATGACCCTTTCACAGGGGTTACCTAAGACCATCAGAAAACACAGATATTTATATTACAATTCATAACAGTAGCAAAATGACAGTTATGAAGTAGAAATGAAAATAATTTTATGATTTGGGGTCGTCACAACATGAGGAACGGCATTAGAGGGTTGTAGCGTTAGGAAGGTGGAGAACCACAGGCTGGCATGAAGCCATGCAGAGCACCTCAGAAGCCTGAGGATGCAGAGCCTGCCCTACCTTCTGAGCCCCTTGCAGGAGGATGGTTCAGTTTGATTCTCTCTGAAGCCAGAGCTCATCAGTTTTTGACTTTCGAACTTCTGGCCACCAGGATCCTGAAAGAAAGTCTGCTGTTTTAAGCCAATCCGTTTATGCTAATTAGTTACACAAGCAGGGAGTTTGCAGCTTGCCATGCTGGCCCACACTCACCTGCACGCCTTGCACACTCACACTGGGAAGAGTTCCACTGCTCCTGTGCAGCCAGGGTGTAGCCCATCAAGCAGCCATTTGTAGCTTCCTATGGTTCTAGGGAGAGCATGAGGACTTTGGTAGATGGAGCCTTGGCTCTCCAAAGGGGCTGATGATCACAGTTGGAGAGGAAGACCACTCTCCCCTCTTGGGTCCAGAGCTTCTGTAACGGTCACAGGTAGGACAGAGCTGGGCTTGCCATAGAAAAAGAATCTGGGTTGTGCTGTGTGGGGGTGAACGCCTATGTGAGAGACTGTAAGAGCATTGCCATCACTGGGAGATGCTTCTGGATGGAGAGTTTGCTAGTGAGTATGAACAGGTTAATGTGGCTGCATGAGGATGCACGAGTGTGCCCATGCACGCTGGCACTTATCGTGTGACACCCCTCCCCCCCCCGTAGTGAAACCATACCAAGCTGCCCTAAGAGAAGACACATCTGGGTTCCCCCACTCAGAGACCCCTGTGGTGGGAGGGCCCGAAGGCACTAACAGGGCACACTCCTGGGCTCAGATCCCATAGCGTTCCTGACTGGATGCCTAGACTGGACATTGCACCACGGAGCCTTGGTTTCACAGTGTCAGGTTGGTACCTGATGTGATGTTTGCTATAGTGATGGAGTTGAGAAACTGGGTAATGGGGTAAGGGCTTTGCCACCACTCCGTGACCATTCCAAGCTGAAAGGGTTCAGGAAGGGTTCACTGAAGCTGTTATTCATTTTTGAACTTCTGGTCACTATTCAAATTCTGAACTTCTATGAAGAGGGTTCACTGACCCGTTCCAGGCGACTGACTTCCTTCCTTTCTAGGCACCTCGGTTACCCTGAGCGACACGGCCTTGTAGACCTGCCCTTGCGCCCGCTGTGTGTGCAGTGGTGAGTCTCCCAGAAGAATCTTGGAAGACCTCAACAGAAGTTCTTGAACTTGACCAGGGCGAGGGGCGTGCCCGCGGCAGACCACGCCCACCCCCCCCTGCATCCCACGGGAGAACGGCCGGAGGTGACGCTAGAACGGAGCGTGTAGGGACCGGTAGTGAAGGCCAAACTCGAGCTTAGCCGCACAGACACTGCCGCGGTCGTACCTCAGAACCCTAACCGTTCTGAGTGCTGCATCAGACGGCTCCGCAAAGAAATTTCTAAAAGGAGACAGGGCAGCTTTAAAATAAAGGTTCTGAGTCCTGCACTGCGTGCGTCCTGTGACCGTTCCAGCTCATTCCTATGTAAAGGGTTTCCAGCCCTGTGCTGGAAATATCCCCGCCTCGCCCGGGAAGCCGCCTTCTAGACGGGTTCCTGCCCTGTCTGCGTTCCTCTCTGTAGATGAGAATTTACAGCGGCCCCTTGGTTGCCGGCGCCTGGCTTTCGGCGGGGAGGCACCCGGAAGTTGCCGCTAGGCTGCTAGCGCGGCCGCTTCGCCATGGCGACGGCCGCTCGGCGACGCTTCTGCCGCTGCGCCTGCTTCTGCTCTCAGAACCTGTACGTGGCGCGCTACGGGCTCCACCTGCGCTTCCGGGACGAGCAGCAGTTGCGCCGTGACTATGGCCCGGTGAGCGGGGGGCGCAGGAGGGGCCCGGACACCAGGACTGGCTTTGCCCGAGGCCTCTCGCTGCAGCACGGCAGCTCCCTAGGAACCTGAGAACACGCGTGCCGAATGCGCTGAACAGAAGTTTTCAGACCTATTGATCCTGTCACTCTCATCGGCGTGACAGGGGTGGGGGACGCTGAGGCTCAGAGATGTTTATTGACAGGGTCACATAGCCCTGCTAACTGACCTTTCTGCTCGCAGCTCCTGCGCAGCCGAGGCTGCGTCAGTTCCAAAGACTTCCAGCAACTCTTGGAGGAGGTACGGCACCCCCGCCAGCCCTTCCTCTGGAGCCCTTGATTCCGAAGGACTTCTTAGCCCTCTTTCCCCAGTTCCTGCTTTCACTTCCTCCCACTCCCAGGTCCTGGCCCAGGAGAGAGATTGAGAAAGACCAAATTGCTCCCAGCGTCCCCTTCTCACCAGCTGAGTGGCATAGTCGGGGCCACCACCCCCATTTCAGCTATCAGGACACCTTGACACCTGCAGAGAACTCTGTCAGGTTCAGAAGTATAGGCAGACTTGCCTTCTAACCTGGGTCCCGCTTTGGCCTTCCTGGGCTTCATTTACTTCTCATGGCTTGGAGGTGGGTGGTCCCAGTGCATAACTGCCTTTGCCGTTCCAGCTGGAGCAGGAGGTGGGGCGCCGCCGCAGGCTGGGGCCGGAATCAGCTGCCAGAAAAGCCCTCATTGCCAGCACCTACCACCCAGCGAGGCCTGATGTCTACTGCTCACTGCAGGTACAGGCCGGCCTGGGAGCTTGGAGGATGCTGCCCTGGTTGGGGGCTGGACTTTCCACAGCTGCCCCGTGTTCTGTCCCAGGATGCGGCTCTGGCCCCTGAGTTTGTGGCTGCAGCTGAATACAGTGGATCCCCGGGTGCAGACCTTGAGGGCCTTCTCCAGCAGCTGGAGATAGTGTCAGGTGAGACCCTTCAACCCCATCACGAGCCAGCACTGGTGGGGGGTGAGGGGGCAGGGTGGTGGCAGCTTGAGATACCTGGGTATGGGAGGCGGGCACTTTAACTCTCATCTCCGGGCTGGAAATAGTCACCAGGAGCCGGGAAGGCCAGCAGGAGGAGCAGTCTGCCAGGGAATCTTTTATTCATTAATTCGTCTATTCTTTCGTTCACTTATGGATCATCCGGCTAGGTTCAGGGAGTTTATTACTATTCCCATTGTACAGAGGGAGCAGGCTTGAGGCTTTAAGATGACTTTAAGACGAGCTGGCTCACGAGGTTGAGTGGGAGCTCCTGTCCCACAGTCTGCCCCTCCTTCCTCAGAGGAGAAGCGCATCTACCGGGTGCCTGTGTTCTCGGCGGAGTTCTGCCAGGCCCTGCTGGAGGAGCTGGAGCATTTCGAGCAGTCGGACATGCCCAAGGGAAGGCCCAACACCATGAACAACTATGGGGTGGGTGAGGCCTGCCTGTGTACTAGGGTGCAAAAGTCACCTTGTTCTGAACCCAGAGCACCAGGAAAGCAAGCAGCTCTTGCACTTAGCAACATCTCTGGCAAGAATTGTGGGGATGCAGGGTGAGGTTCCCCAAGTCTCCCTGCTGATTCCTGGGAATCCTCCTTAGGTACTGATGCACGAGCTAGGCCTAGATGAGCCACTGGTGACACCATTGCGGGAGCGCTTCCTGCAGCCACTGCTGGCCTTGCTGTACCCAGAGTGTGGTGGGGGCCAGCTTGATAGCCACCGTGCCTTTGTGGTCAAGTATGCGCTGGGCCAGGACCTGGAGCTGGGATGCCACTACGACAATGCCGAGCTCACCCTCAATGTGGCTCTGGGCAAGGCCTTCACAGGAGGTGCCCTATACTTTGGGGGCCTCTTCCAGGTGAGTGAGCCCCACCATTTAGGGCCCAGGCAGTCATGAGTACTCCACCCTGAACCTTACCATCTTCAGGCACCTGCAGCCCTGATGGAACCCCTGGAAGTGAATCATGTGGTGGGCCAGGGTATCCTGCACCGTGGTGGCCAGCTGCATGGGGCTCGGCCCCTGGGCACCGGAGAGCGCTGGAACCTTGTCATCTGGCTCCGGGCATCTGCTGTTCGAAACCGCCTCTGTCCTATGTGCTGCCAGAAGCCAGAGCTAGTGGACGATGAGGGCTTCGGTGATGGCTTCACCCGGGAGGAGTCTGCCGTGGTAGATGTATGTGCACTGACTTGAGCCTGGTCCCCCAGTGGTGTTAGTGCCATGGCAGCAGGAAACTGCCATCTTGGGTGGGGAGGGCAGAAATAAACTCTATAGCCATGACCCTCCTTGGGTCAAAGGGACACGCTGACTCCTCGGTCACTCTTTGGACAGATGAGCTGTCTTAGGACAGAACTGCTGGAAGACAAGTCGAGTTTAGATGAAGTATTGAGGTCAAGGGTGGAGCAGGTTCAGGAAGGGAAGGAGCCCCAAAGAATGTGATTTCCAGTGATGTCCAGCCTCAGCCTGCTCCCTGGGGAGCTCTGCCTCGGGTGGGGGACCCAGTCAGTGACTCCTTGGATAGGGTGGCTCCCAGGGATTTAAGTGGGGTTCATTGGTCTATCAGCAGTGCTGGCGAGTGGGGAGCCAGACTTTTTGGGTTCAAGCCTCTGTTCTGGCGTGTCCAGCTGGGCAGCTCTGAATTTGTTTGCAGCCTGGGTGTTGTGACGAGTTGACATTTATAAAGCACTTTATAACAGCCCTCTGTTTCCTGTTGTTATTTAAGAGCTTGAAACTGGTGGTTTGGAGATTGAGGGGTGCACATAGCTGTGCGCTGTTCGGGTTACATATTCCTGGGGACTTCCGTTGTAAGTCTAGGTACTTGGGGAAAGTGCTGAGATACAGAAACATCTCCCTCCAAATCAGTCTCAGCTAGACACCCACAGGCCGGGGATTCATTCCTAGGTTGGTTGTTATGATCCCTGGCTCCTGATGGGCAACTAGATTTGCGACCTCCAGCAGTGAGTGACATTAGAAATACCAGCTGTCTTCAGTCTGTCGGAGTTCTCAGTCTGGTGGAGTGGACAGACCGGCAGACTAACCAGGAAAAACAGTAGGAGGGTGGCTTTCAGGAGTGAGAGACCCGAGGGCTTGCGGCTGGTGCAGGGCCACAACCCGACTCCCACCCAGGTAAAGACACCACTTCTTGTTGGAAGTCGGGCTGCCAGAAGCGGAACCCAGGGTCCGGAACTAAAGGCAACAAGGACAACTACACCCGGACAGACGGTATTTCAGGACGGCCCCATCTCAGAAGCGGACCGGAAAACCCCGACAGGCTGCTATTTCCTCACGGAGGCATACTGTAGACTGGTGGTTGACGAGGGCATCGGGCGGCTGCGAGACTCCTCTCTGGGCAGCCAGGCCGCCTTCTCGCAGTTGAGGAAAGCTGAGGAGTTCCCCGCGCCCGCCGCGCAGAGTCCAGTGCGCAGGCGTGTGGGCGGGGCGGGCCCTTAAAGGGTCCGCGGTGCGGAGTCGGAGGAGCTGGGGTCGCCAAGCGCAAGGCTCTCGGGCGGGAATGGGTACTAGCTGCCCCGAGGACCAGGCCCCGTTGGCACTGAGTTTGGATCTACTCTGCGGACGTGCCCAAGAGGAGCCGCAGGTTAAACGCGTCTCTTCCGGTCTCTAGCCCGCTTTGTTATGGCTCACGTTGGCTCTCGCAAGCGCTCGAGGAGTCGCAGTCGATCGCGGAGTCGACGGGGGTCAGAAAAGCGAAGCAAGAAGAGTAGTAAGGACGCCTCCAGGAACTGTTCAGCCTCCAAATCCCAAGGTCACAAGGCCAGGAGTGCGTCTGAGGGTGAGGACCATAGGGACCGGGAAAGGGGTGTGCGGCTCTGAGCTGCGGGAGGCTTGCATCTGTCGGGCCCGCCCCTAGGGAGCAAGTGATTCGGTGTAGAACCCGGACTGAGGCCCTCGGATGGGGAGGAGGCCCGGTGAAGTGGAGGGTGTTCCTTATTCATGCTTTAATGTGCTGGGCCTTTGAGGTCGGGCCTGGCCACCCTGCCAACCTTCCAGAACCCCAAAGAAGGTTCCAAAGATGCTCTTGGGGAACCGGTTGGGAGGGTCCTACCGAGAAGAGGCTGCCCCAGGGCAGAGCAGGGGACAGAGGCCTTATCTTCTCCCTGCATCACAGAGAGAAGCAAGCACAAGGCCCGGAGGACAACGAGGTCCAGCTCTTCCTCCTCCTCTTCCAGTTCTTCCAGCTCCGCATCGTCCTCATCCTCCAGCGATGGCCGGAAGAAGCACGGGAAGCACAAGGATAAGAAGAAGAGGAAGAAGAAGAAACGGAAGAAGAAGCTGAGGAGGAAAGCCAAGGAGAAGGCAGTGGTGGTGCACCCGGCTGAGGCTCTGCCTGGCCCCTCACTGGATCAGTGGCACAGATCAGCTGGGGAAGACAACGATGGCCCAGGTACTGTGTGGGCCACTATGCAGTGGGGAGAAGGTGCTCTTCCCGGGTCTGACACCCACTCTGTATTCTGTTCCAGTCCTGACTGATGAGCAGAAGTCTCGTATCCAGGCCATGAAGCCCATGACAAAGGAGGAGTGGGACGCTCGACAGAGTGTCATTCGCAAGGTGGTGGACCCAGAGACAGGACGCACAAGGTGTGGAGCAGCAGGCACAGTTGCTAGTCCTGCCCTCAGTACAGTCGGGAGGATGTGCTCTTGGGGGTGGGATGCTGTAGCCACTTCTGTCACAAATATGAGGAAAATGGTCATTTATAGGGTGATATCCCAGCTGTTATTCCCTGTGCCCCTTGAGTAGTGGCAGGACTGAAAGGGCCTTGCCGTTTTTTCAGATGGTTGCTGCGACAGAGAGCCTACCTGAACTGTCTCCATTCTGTCCTGAGTAGTGGTTGGGATGAGTGGCCAGGCTCCCCCCTTGAGAGATGGTCGGGCTTCCCCTGGGGTCCCTTGGCTTGGGTGGTTTTTGTTCTTTTACTTGGTGAGAGTCCCAGACTCTTACTTGGTGAGCTGATCCCCTTTGACCCCCCCTACCCCCCAGGCTCATCAAGGGAGACGGTGAGGTTTTAGAGGAAATCGTAACCAAAGAACGGCACAGAGAGATCAACAAGGTTGGTGTAACCACTCTGCCCATGCTGTGCCCACATGGTATCTACACTCAGTATCTCATGTTTCTATCCTGTTTGCTTTCTCAGCAAGCCACCCGAGGGGACGGTCTGGCCTTCCAGATGCGAGCGGGCCTACTCCCCTGAGGGCCCTGGTACCCCAGGTCTGTGAACTACTGTTGGTGGCTTGGAGACAGATGGACCCAATCGGCCTTTTCTCCTGTGGGTGGCCTCTGGCCCAGGCCTAGATCCTCTTGGATGCAGTGGGTGGCCTCCTAAGCACCAGATTGGGAGAGTGTAGTGTCAGTATTAAATGATCTTGGTCACCGAGTTCCTGTCTTGTTGCTTTCTATACTAGGGGCGGAACTATTGCCATTTGACTTATAAAGAGATGTGCTTATTATCTTTGGAAAGCTGGCATATCCTTTGGTGGTAATGAACAAAAACTACTAGCCACCCAGCTCCTCCTCAGTTGACTCAACCAGGACCAGACCTGACCCTACCCTGGCTGAGTCAAATTCAGCTTTGGTCCTTAGGGTGAGCTCATCAGGCCATTGCTGTGTCCTGTTCCACCAGAGCCAGGCTGTGTCCCCTGGGGAGCAGGTCTGTGCTGATGTCACAGTGGTTAGTTAGCATGTGTCACTGCAGTGGATGTCCCCACGCACACGCCAGGAGACCCACGGTGCCGCCACAGTAATGAGACCAGAAGGAAGCCTCCTGCTTCTTTAATTGGTGTAACAGACTGTGACACGGTATACAGAGAGCACACTCAGGCCAGACGATGCAAGGACAGCAGGGATGGGGTCAGGACATGGTTCACACATCGTCCAGAGAAACAGATGACAAGGACACATGGGAGGGGGCTGAGATGTGAAGATGTCACAGGGCAGGGTGGTGGGCAGCTCACACAGAACCAGGAAGGGGGTAGGGGAGGGTTCTTTGCTGAATCCTTCTTTAGAAATCAAAGAGAAGGCAGGTGGTTGGTGCTGGGTGGCATTGAGGCTCAGTCCTGGGGACTGCGGATGGGAAGGGAGTGACTAAGGCTTCTATTCTAACAGGCCTGGGGTGGGTGGCAGTCAACAAGGTCTGCCTCACCCTTTGGTTACGAATGGCCAGGCCTGAGCCCTGCAGCTCAGCACCTGACACTGTAAACATTTTTGGTATTTTTAAGGGACTTTGACCTTCCTCTCCTAGTTTCTGTAAAAGTGGGGCTTCTTCAAGAGAATGAGCCAAAGGAAATAGTAAGGGAAGCAGAAAGCAGACTTGAGTGAAGTTTGGCGGAAGGCTGCCGTCTCACCATCTATGGCTAAGGGCCCTGGGAGAGCCCTAGGGGACTATTGCTGTTGTCCTTGGCATGGCTGGCAGCTGGGCAGGCAGGGACATTCTGAGCCACGAGGGGGCTGCCCAGGGGGAGAAACCAAGCCTGCTGACCCCAGGGCTTCCCTGGCCTTTATTGCAGGTGGCCAGAGGCTTCCAGGCGCTTCTCCCAATGGCTAGTCACCTAGGCTGAGGCAAGACGGGGTGGGACTGAGGGAGGGGGCACTGGCCACTGGAACCCCTAGTGGGGCAGTGATTGTCGGGCCAGCAGCCTCTTTCAGGGGTGGGAGTGGTGGGGGCAGATATTGCACTTTCATTGTGACGGTTCCTCAGAATCTTGGTCCATAAAATAATCACTGCTTTATACAGAACGCTGGAAACAGCAAAGCTACATCTTAAGGGAAAACCATGAAGGTCTCGCCTCTCCAAACAGTTTTTTTTTCTCTGCACAAAATAAATAGCTTTCTTTCTGTCTAGGCCCACCATGGCAGGGCATCTCACGCCCCTGTGATGCACATATCTCTACAGCAAAGTCAGCGGCTCCTGTACGCCTACCTACTCAGCCTAGCCATGCGGCCCTGAGTCTCAGTCCAGCGTGGCAGCTCCTCAGGTAGAGCCCCGTCGCTGGACAGCTGGCCTGAGCTAAGTGGGCTCAGTCAGCGCAGGGAAGGTGCAAGAGAATTGTGCTCAGTGCTGCGGGGAAGGCAGGGCTCAGACCCAGAGTGTGGGACCCGTCCTTGTTTAGGGAGAAATAAAATGGCTGTCTGCCCTTAAGCTGACGAAGCAAGCTGTGGCTTCTTGGAGTAGACATTAAACAGAATGGCATTAAGAAAACCTAAGAGCTCCACCGGCCCCAGAGTAGGAAGTTGGTGGAATTGTGGGTCTGGTGAGGCGAGAAGCCCACAGCTTGCCGAGTGGACCAGGTGCAGGGCCCACAGGCCAGACTGAGTGGGACCCTGTCACAGTGCTGGGTGTTCCTAATGTAGCAGGCTGCACTGACGCTGAGCTAAGAAAAGGAAGCAGCCGCGGACTGCCTGGTAAAAAACCTTATAGAAACCAGATGGAGAAGTAGAAAGGTGTAGAAACGCGGCGGGCAGCAGCCATGGCATGGGGCCCCAGCCCATGGCAGGCGAGGAGGTGGAGGTGGAGGCCAGGCTTCACAGGCCCAGCTGCCCAAGGTGGGTTACCAGGAAGGAGCTGGCTACGCACTTTGCTGGCCTTGCGCCTGTGCTGTGCTCAGGACCCGGAATGACACCAGTCCTGTGACTGCACTGAGCTCTGGGTGGGCAGGTGGATGGGTGGGCAGCAGTCTTGAGACCG